CATATGTAAAATGTCAATTTTGACATTTTCCTTTTAGGTTAGAAACGGTTGAATAATAATAAATTTCATCAAATTTGTGTAAAATTATTAAGAATAAAATAAATTGTTAAAAAAATAATAATAGAATTAAAAAGTTTAACATAAAATGGCCAAATATTTAGCACAAATTATTGTTTTGGGTGGTCAAGCTATTGGCAAGGCCTTTGCCAAAGCATTGAGACAAGAAATTGCCGCATCCCAAGAAGCAGCACGTCGCAGTGGTGGTGGACGTCAGGGAGAAAAAAGATCAGAAGCTAATGCCAGAACGGGTAAGTAACAAATATATAAAACTAACGAAATATATAATTGAATTCCTCCTAATTTTTAGGCATGACTCTGGATGAGGCCAAACAAATACTCAACATTAACGACCTGGAAAATCTCGAACAAATCACCAAAAACTATGAACATTTATTCGCCGTCAATGACAAAGCTAAAGGAGGTTCCTTCTATTTACAATCCAAAGTTTTCCGTGCTAAAGAACGTATCGATCAAGAACTGAAGGAGGCACTTAAGGCTCAACAAGCCAAACAAAAGAGACAAGAAGATTCAGCAGCGGGGTCGGAAGATAAACAACGATGAGTGTTGTGTTAGTAATTTTTAGAATGTGCTTTAGTAATTTCTTGTTTTTTTTTTCTATATAAATTTTATAAATTTAATTTCCTTTTACAATTCTATTGTAAAGATAACTAAACGATACAAGTTGATTATTTTAAGATATAAACACAAATAATACCTATAGGCTTTTCAAGAATATATAAATAGATAATGAGATTTAGTATGTGAAATAATAGTTGGATTACTCCATATTACGATTCGAATGAAAGAAAAAGAAACTTTCGAACTACAATTTGGATCCAGTTGTTTGGCAGGGAATCTATAGAACTTGTTTATTTTACCCAGACTGTTTTGTAAATAAAATGCAATTTTTTTTTGCTTAATTTGTTTTATAAAATAAGTTTGTTTTTAAAAAATGTTATTAGCAAATAATGAAAAAGATTGTTGATGAACGAAAATATAGATACAAAATATATATTTCTCATAATTATGTTATTTGTTGCGTTTAGTATTGCAGTGTTGGTGCAGTAGGGAATTGGATAATATATGGAACAAATAAATACATTTTCATAAAAAAGTAGAATTTTCCTGTTCAAGGCTAAATGAAATTAGAAATTTTCGTGCAAATCAGGTTTGTAAGTTGTTCGAAAATTAAAATTTCGGAAATAAGTTCGAATTTTTGAACATGTCTTAGTGGTTTGCGAAGTTTTCTTTTCACGCGTGTGCGAATAATCCCAATTTATGATGAGTTTACTTAACTCAAATATTCTCGTTATGTTCGAAAAAGTGCAAATTTCCTTAAAGGACGGAGGTTTAATGAAAATCATGAGAAGTTATAAGTGGGTAATTTTTCGTTCTTCAAAAAGTGCTTTTTGAATTTTCTATGATATTGAACCAAGAAAGATAAATTTAAGCATGTAGAACCTGGAATAAACAATAACCTATAAAAGGGGAAAATTTGGTACCTCTTCGTTCTTCAAAAGGTACTTTTTGAACCATATAATCATATAGGATCCTGATGGAATGAAACAGACATGAAAAATTCAGTATTATAGTACAATACCGCTGTGCCCCACAACATTTTCGGTACTTTTTATACCCACCATCAAAAAAGATGGGGGTATATTGTTTTTTTCATTCAGTTTGTAACACATCGAAATATTGGTCATAGACAAAAGTATATCCTTATTAAATTCTAAGACGATCTAGCTATGTCCGTCCGTCTGTCTCTTGAAATCGCCATAGGGACAACGCGGGAAGAGCTTATTAGTTTACATTTTGCATATACATACATATGTTGTCTATTGATAAGGTTTGTTTGGTATTGAAAATAGTCAATATCGGTCCATGTTTTCGAATAGCTCCAAACAAGTGCACTCCCGAAAAACAGCTTTAACAGGCATAACTGTTTTAAAAATACTAGTATAACGATAAAATTCGATATTAATAAGTTTTATATGAGGATCGGTTCATAATTGACCCTACCCTCTATATAAGGACCCCTTAAGAAAATCACTATAACTCTCATTACTGGTATAAAGTTACGAATACTGCGGCGCACATCAGTTTTATGCGAACCAGACCCTCTCTACCAATTTTTTGGAGGATCGGCCCATTAATTATCCTACCCCTCCATATAAGGTCCCCTTCAGAAAATTACTTTAACACTCATTAATGGCTTAAAAATGCCAGTACAGCGATGAAATTTGACGCAAAATCGGGGATAAAATCCCTCCACCATATTCTATGTGGATAGGTCCATAATTGACCCTACCCCCCAGGTCCCTTTAGAAAATGACTTTAACGCTCATTATTGGCTTAAAAGTACGAGAATAGCGATGAAATTACGAGCCAAAATCTCTCTACCAAATTTTATGTGGATCGGTCCATAACTGACCCTACCCTCCATATAAGTTCCTTTTCAGAAAATGACTACAACGCTCATTACTGGTATAGCGATGAAATTCGACATAAGTAAGTTTCTTAGATGAGAAAACCTCTTTACTGACTTTTATGAGAATCGGCATATTATTGACCCTACCACCTATGTGAGGTCCCCTGCAGAAAATTACTTTAACGCTCATTAATGTCTTAAATATACGAGTAAAACGATGAACTTAGATACACATAAGTATTATATGAGTCAAAATCTATCTACGAAATTTAGTGAGGATCGGTCCATAACTGACCCTACCCCCATATAAGGTCCCCTTCAGATAGTTACTTAGCATAGTCTATAGTCTAGTCTATAGTCCAGTGTATCGCCTAGTATATATACTAGACTATAGTCAAGTCTCTAGTCTAGTTTAATGTCTAGCCTAAAGTCAAGTATATAGTTTAGTTGGAGGTCTATAGTCTCGGCTTTAGTCTATAGTCTCGCCTATAGTCTAGTCTATAGTCAAATCTATACTCTAGTCTATAGCTTGGTATATAGCATAGTCTACAGCCTAGTCTACAGCCTAGTCTACAGCCTAGTCTATTGTCTAGTCAATTGTCTAGTCTATATTCTACTGTATAAGGCCCACAATATGAAAACTATATAAATTTTCTTAAAAATAAAAATTCTTCTTTTGACATTACTCCGTAATAAAAAAAAGTTCGAAAGAAAATGCGAATTTTCAAAAATATTTTTTATTAGAAAATTTTTCGAAAAAAAATATTTGAAATATTCTTTTTGCAATAAAATCGACCCATGTTTGTTTCAAAATTCGGTGTCAGAACAATTTAAATATTATGTATTTCCAATAAAATCTTTAAAGACGGTTTCGCTATTTTTATTTGAAAAATATAATAATTTATTTATAAAGAAAACAAAACAAATGACAGCAGGCCTAATACAAAATTACTAATGCATTAAACTAAAAAAAAAAATTCTTTTAAATATTTTTTCGATTTTATAAATATTCAATACTTGATTTTTTGTTTAAATTAGAAAATTATAAAACTAAATTTAATTACAATTGATATAAATTTGTTTAATTTCTTAAGAATTTTAAATAATTTACAAACAATTTTTAGCTAAAAGAAAATTTTTGTTCTAAAATTTAAAAATAAAAGTTTAAATACTTTTTAAATTAAAAAAAAAAAGAATTCAAATAATTTTGCTTAAAAAAATAATTTTTCTTATAAAAAATAAGTACATATGTACAAGTAGAGGAGCGTTAGGATAGTAGGAGACTCTAAGTTAGTTGTTCTTTCTTTTAACAAAATCCCGGATTTGTATGCTCTATAATACAGCGTTTACAATATTTCTTAACCGCTCTATAGCCTTCAATGGATATTTGACAATCTTGTATATTCAATTGTTGCAGACCGCGACAGTAGTACGCTATACATTGTACGCCACGGTCGGTAATCATATCACAATTACGTAAACTTAATTTCTTTAAATTCGGACAACTTTCGGCCAGTGCTCTTAGGCCAGCATCACTGACATCACATTTACCAATATCGAGTGCCCGCAAACGTGGACATGAACGTGCCAGTACGGTAATGGAATCATCACTAACCGCCTCACAACCTCGGGCATTGAGGTAACGTAGTTTATAGCAACGTCTTGCTATGACTTTAAGACCCGCATCAGATACCCGATCACATTTGGCTACGGATAGATAGCGCAAAGCAGCCCCCAGTTTGGCCAATTCGTAGAGACCGAAATCGGTTATGTTAAGGCAATCGGAAACGCTTAGCTCCTTCAGGGCTATACAAAAACTTGGCACAAATTTTAGTCCTGCATCTGTTGAAAAATATAATATTTGTTACAAAATCTGCAAATCGGGAATATAATATTTATTAAAAGACCTCATACCTGTAATTTGTATGCAGCGTCTTAAATAAAGATACACCAGTTGAGGACAATTTTTGACCACAATTTTTAGACCCACATCATCTAAAGCTGTACAATCGGTTAAATCTAAATATTGTAATAAAAGTCTTCTAGGTGGTTCCAAATTCGGATTCGGTGTTATGGTATTAATTTGCGTGCAACCTTTAACAAAAAAGAAAATTTTATAAATAACATTCTAACGCCATTTTTCTAATTCCCTCAACTTACCCGTTACATCTAAATGCTGTACATTGGTGCATTTCGTCAAGACATCCACTAGAGCCTGATTGGAGACATTAACACATGTCTGCAGCTGCAGATGTGTTAATTCCGGACATCTACGGGTCAGCAATTGCAAACCCTTATCCGATATGCGACAACCATCGGCCAGCATTACTCTCTCCACTTCAGGGCAGGAACCATTGCGGGTTTGACCACACAATTGGCGAAAAATCATTTTCAAAGCCTTATCTCCATTCAGATGTTCCCCCTTTAAAGTAATAACTTTCCACAAAACCGGACGCCAGGCCAACTGTTCGAATCTTCGGCAAACCCGCGCTAAGCTACACAATTCACAACTATCAAACCATTGGAAAATTTTCAAAATGGCCTCGTCGGGCAAACGATCAAATAGAGGACCCGATCTAAATGGTCCCTTTTTCGACCATGGCGGTGGTCCCGTCTCTACATGTCTTCTTGCTATGGCCGCTGCTGCCGACATGGCAGCCGGTGGTGGATGATGAACTATACTGTGCGTTGTTATGGTATTCGGATGATGGCCAGTGGGTGAGGGTGATACCAAAGTGGCATAGCCCTGATCTAGACTAGGTGAAAATCTGCCTAAATTACATAAACCATCGGATAAACTTTTCACTTTACTGTGATGATAGCGCTGATCCAAGGCCAAATTCGATGAGGAGGAGGTGTTGTTATTTGAACTGGAAAAGTTGTCGATGTGATTCGATGAACTGAAGGCATTGGCGGGTGAGTTGGTGCGATTTAAGAGATAACGATCGGAACCACTAGTTTCACTGGGACTCGAGGCGCGATGGTGTAGCAGATGAGGATCTGTAAAAAATTAGGTGGATTAGAATTTAATTTAGCAGATTTAAATAAAAAGCTTAAAAACTTCATTCAGCTAATTTAAAAAACTTCATTCAGATAATTTGAAATAATGATTTTATAATTCAGCTAACAAAACTTCAATTCAGCTGATCAAAAATTTTAGAAAATTAAATATTTATCTTGTAAATAGCATACAAATGTTATTCAGCTAAGCAAAAAATGCAATTCAGCTAACTAAAAATGTTAAGAATAGTAATTTTATACAATTTAAAATCAAAATTTTATAAATCAATTAATGAAAATGCCATTTGTGAGGGTGTCTGCGTTGGTTTTAGTATAATTAACCTTGAATGAGAATACTGAATTTTATTTATTTTGATTTCTTTGTTTTTTTTTTTAGTTAGCCATGAAATTTTAATTTCTAAATATTCTTCAGAAAAAAAAAAAATATTTTTTTATTCATTTGAAAAAGTTTGTTGAATTGAATAGTTTGAATAGTCACTAACGTCTGTAATTTTATTAAAATTATTTATTCAATTATAAAAAAAAAAAAAGAACAAAGCCAAAAACTATCGGAATATTTGGGGCAAATTTTATCATAGATTCTTAAGGTAAGATTTTTATAGGATTGATGGTTAATATTAGTCTTAATTGTATTTTTTTTATGGTATAGATCTTGTTTCGTTTATTGGAGAGACATTGACTGCATTTCGTTGTATCAAACAATTGTTGAAAAATTGAAATCACTTCAAGACCAAAAATTTTAGAATAAAACTAGTTTGAAGGAAGGGAAGGTCAAGATTGGCAATTGGTTTGAATATTGCAGCGATTGTTGTGCATAATTTTTAAATTACGTCTTCCCTATAAGGGAAGATACAAACCCCAGGACAATCTACATATAAGGTGACCAGATCTTTAAATATTTTCATTGAAACTGCTTCCGAAGATCTGTTTGGTGAATTATCCAATTACCATCCAAATTGCTTTATAATTGATCATAACTTCAATTCAGTTTTTGTATTTTCACTTACGTAAATCAATAATCGCTTATTGTTTTCAATCCTGATCCAAAATTTCAATATTATAATTTACTTTTAAATCTGAATTCGGCTATTCATTGATTTTGCATGAAATTTCACTTAACTTAAATTACTTTAAATTTCGAAAATCTTTATTTTAAAACCAATTTTGGATCATATTTTGAAATTTAATCAAATTTTGTTATAAATTACTTATTTTGTCAAGTTAATTAGTTGAATTCATACGGTCACCTTAATTAATGTTTATATAAATTAATGTAAATCCTAAAAATATGCTACACTAAAATTACACTTAAAACACTTAGTCAATTCCAACACCTAATCACAATTCATTACCTATAATATGGATTGTATCTTAAATAGTTAATAAACACTTCAATTTTGATACAATCCATACATAATTATCTAAATAATACTATCCCAACTCATATAAACTATAATAATTGTGAGTGTTATAATAAACCGTCACCTGTCATCCGGCGCCTGCTGACATCGATAAACAAATGTAAGTTGGATTTTGATTTTATTGTTTCATTATCAGTCATTTTAAATCCACTCTCAATTTTAAATACACACATACATACTTATAAAGTAATATGAACAAAATTATCATTATATTAATTTTTCATTTTGCAACCAGAGTTGCCATTGTACATTAATTTGTATGTAATTAATATTTAATTTAATATATTAAATGTTCATATTATTTTTATTACAAAATCCCTAAATTTGATAATTTAATATTATAACATTTTGAATACAAAGTCACCTTATATCATGATATTTTCTTAAATAATTTCTTTTGAATAAAATTTCAATATAAAATTTCCATTTGCCTAAATTAAGGTGACCACCTTTGATTTTTTTAAATACATATATGTATGTAATAAAATTTAATTAAACTAATTCATTTAACTTTAACTTTACTTAATTATTATCATAATTTAATTTTAATAAATATTACAATATATAATTATAATATTCAATATGAAATCATAAATTTTGTTTATTATCATGAAAAGTTAAGTCAAGGGTATGGGTTAGGTTGATTTAGTTATTTTTTTTTGTTTATTTTTATTGGGCTGACAATCAACTCTAATATTTGTCAGCATGGAGGGAGGGCTTTGGAAGAGTGTAGCAAATACCATCAACAGCTACACTAATACCTTTACCGCATCTTCTTCATCTCTTGTCTTTGTGGATCATTTATTTAAGTAGCTACCTAAAGTAAAGTCTATGTAATTGATTCATTTATAGTATTTTTTTTTTTTGATATGAGAACACACCTCACCCCCCCCACCGACGAGCACGGCCGTAATATTAGGTAGCATCGTTCTCATAAACAAACCACCTTATGACAGAATCGTTACAGAGATTTTTAGCGCCCAACGTGGGGCCTCAGTTATCGTGTTTTATTATAATATTCTTGTGCAATTTTCATCCAGATGCTGAGGACTCTGAATCTTTTGTGGTTAATGATTTACACAGCAGACTCTTTTACTAGCTTCTTTTCACTTTTCATTAAACTTTTCTTACATTATTTTTCGCTGTGGACTTAATTGTTTATTATAGTTATGATAATCAATTCCCGGTCTGATATTTAGTGGGTCAAAAGTTTATCAGGGTTTGGGTTCGAACTTGAGAAGTTGTTCTGGTGGTTATCGGATTCAATCCTCGTTTGAAACTTTCCTTTTTCTTTCCTTCTTCTAATTCTATACTTTTTCTTCAAAATTTAATTTTCGTAGTTTGATCTTTTAGTTATATGGACTTAAAGTATCTGATTTTTTTTTATCGGTTACCTTCCTATAACGTAAAAATCAATCCCTAACTTCTGTTCTAGAACTTATAGTTGTTTTGGATTTGATTCTTTTGGCATTTGTCGAATGTTTCCAGCAATTATGAGTTTTCTATCTCTTTCTTTCTCTAACCCTATCTTTATTTTCTTTGCGGTATAGAAAGGTTTGTTTATCTTTAGTTTTATTTTGTTTCAGTTTTAGTTTTTATTTACCTTTTTGTTTTCCCTGTATACCCTACCTATAGACTTAACCGAGTAGTGATATACATATTTCGATATTTTTGTTACGTTTGCGATATTCTTTCTATAGTTATATAGTTTTGTAATTCTGATAGACATTTTAACATTTCTTATTCGGATATTCGATTTCACTTAGTTGAATTTTCTTTAATTGTCAAAAACCCCAGATTTTTAGATTTTTGTTGTTGTTTATATTATTATATTTATAATGCCTCTTGTGCGTAGTACTGGAAATATACCAGTAGAGGTAGATAGGGACACCGAAAACTTCCCGATTGATCAGGCAGCTGGTGGAGACGCTCAAACACCTGCTAATCCCATTCGAAGACCAATGACTCGTTTGCAAGCGCGTAGGGAGGCCATAGAACAGGAGAATGTTGAAGAAAATATTCGCCGTATAGTTGAAAATTCTTTAGAGGGATTTAGATCCGAAATGACAAACATGATTGCGGAAAGTTTTAGGAATTTGTCTTTAACCAATCGAGAACCAGTAGTAGGACTGGACAGATTAGTTCGGACTGAACAAGTAGCTTCGAGACGTACTGAACGCGACAATGGAGATGATGGAAGCGAAACATCGAGACACCATCATAATGGACGAGACAATCGCGAAGATCGACATTTAAATATAAATTTTGATAGAAATTCGGACAGAGTTCTGAATATAATTAGAAATTGGAAGGTTCGTTTTACTGGCGATTCGTCGGAAATTACAGTAGACGAATTCATATATAGAATAAATACTTTGACGAATGCAAACCTTAGGGGCGATTTCGGACTTCTTTGTGAACACGCCCATATTCTGTTCGAAGGCAAAGCCTTAAAGTGGTTTTGGCGATTTCATCGTAGCTGCGTTGACATGGACTGGGACGATCTATGTGACGCAATGAAAAGACAATATAAGGACGACAAAACAGACTTTGACATTAGGGATGACATATTACGACGGAAACAAAAACAAAACGAGACCTTTGACGAATTTTATGACGCAATTATGGTTTTGTGTGACAAACTCCGTACCCCTTTGTCTGAATACGAGTTGTGTGAAACTATACAACGTAACTTGAGACCGGAGATTAGACACGACATTCTACATTTAGAAATATCTCGTGTTTCTCATTTACGTCGTGCAGTACGTAGGCACGAGAAATTTGTGAAGGATATGGCATCGACCAATTTTAACAAACGGGATTACAAAAAGACACAGGTTTCAGAGGTCGTTGTTAATAACGACGAGGACAAAATTTTAGATGAGGATGATACCGAAATTTGCATGATAGTGAAGACGGGAAAATGTTGGAACTGCGACGAAATTGGTCACAGTTTCATAGACTGTTTGGAACCACGGACTATTTTTTGTTATGGTTGTGGTGCGAAAAATGTTTTCAAACCCAAATGTCCTAATTGTTGTCTCAAACGGGGAAACGTATCGAAGGATGTCCGTGCGAAAAAGGACGGGCATCCGAAGATAAATTGAATAGTTTACACAATAATGAACCTGACGAGTCTGATTTACCTGCTAATACAAATACACCTGCTATGACAAACCAATTTAAATCACCTGATAAGACAAATTGTACTGAAGCTTCACCTATTCATCCATTACGGAAACCCTATCACATTCGCCTAGAGGAATATAACATTGCTAGAGCTAGAATTTTTAACGAATCAGATAATGTACGATTACCAACTAGATCTAGTAGAAGGCTACGTGAGTTCTATAAGAATAGGAAACAACTTGGCAAGCACACAATATCATCTTTGGTGAATAAGGAAAATGACAACCGACCTTACATTAAATTAAACTTGCGTAATAGGAACTACTTTGCACTGTTGGACAGTGGAGCTAACGTTAATGTCATAGGAGGGGAATTATGTTCGGAAATAATTGAATCTGGTGAATATAAACGGAGTTTTGGTAATGTTAG